GCGGGTGTTCATTTCAAGTGATTTTGATGGTGAACTGGTAAGGAAGTCATTCACCCTTACCCTCATGTTTTTTAAACCCAAATAGAACCATCTTGTTTGTTCAGTGTTGGCCAAGATCATTTATTAAATCCAAATACTATTTCTTCTCTCTTGTTTATGGAGCAGTTCCCACGATATCTGAGCTTTGTTAAAGGTGTGGTAGACTCAAATGATCTCCCGTTAAATGTCTCACGTGAAATACTTCAAGAGAGTCGCATTGTGAGTGTATTTCAGTCTAGACCTGAAATTGGAATGGTTACAGTTATTATTATTGTTATTATTATTATTATTATTATTATTATTATTATTGTCCTAATTTTTGGGCTATGACATTCCTATGATTGCTTTGGAAAAGGTTCGCATAATGAAGAAACGTTTGGTGAGGAAGGCTTTTGAGATGATCCAAGGCATAGCCTTGAGTGATAATAGAGATGTAAGTTACTTTCTGTCTAATACTTTCCATCTAAACTCTCAAGTCTTCTAAACGCTGGAATGTTTGCATGGAATGCCCTGTGTTGCTTGCAACATAATTTCTAGTGCAGATAATTGTCTTGCTTTTCCCCTGACTTTTGCTTTGTATTTCACTTCACTACTCACTTTCTCATGTACAGGACTATGAGAAGTTCTATGAGAACTTCGGCAAGCACCTAAAAATAGGTTGCATTGAAGATCGTGAGAACCACAAGCGCATTGCCCCATTGCTGAGATTTTTCTCTTCACAAAGTGAGGAAGATATGATCAGCCTGGATGAATATGTTGAGAATATGAAGCCAGACCAGAAGGAAATATATTTTATTGCTTCTGATAGTGTAGCAAGTGCAAAGAACACTCCTTTCCTTGAAAAGCTTCTTGAGAAAGATCTTGAAGTACGATATTGTTTAAACACGTTCAGTTGGGCTCTTACAGTCAAGCCTATTGAATTCACTTCTTTAGCACCTTTTTTGTGTCGTTGGTGTAGGTACTCTTTTTAGTTGATCCGATTGATGAGGTTGCTATCCAGAACCTCAAATCCTACAAGGAAAAAGAGTTTGTTGATATTAGCAAAGAAGATCTTGATCTGGGTTAGTTAACCTGAAGCCATCTGTTTTTGCGTGCAATTGAACTTTAAGTAAATTACAAAATATATTGTCGGTGTTTGATAAATAGTGAGCTTGCCTTAGATTTCTCTATTCTCTGCTACTGACATATTTGAACTTTTATTTTGAAGGTGATAAGAATGAGGATACAGAGAAGGAGATGAAACAAGAATTTGGCCCGACTTGTGATTGGATAAAGAATCGGTTAGGCGAGAAGGTTGCAAGTGTACAAATCTCAAACCGTCTCAGCTCGTCTCCTTGTGTTCTAGTATCTGGAAAGTTTGGTTGGTCTGCAAACATGGAAAGGTGGAATTTGTCACGTATTCACATGCTTTTAAGTTGCACGTACTACATGAGGTTTTCTAAGTTCTGCTTTTTTATTGTGTTCCCCCTTCAGGCTGATGAAGGCCCAAAGTGGTGGTGGTGATGCCTCTAGCCTGGCGTTTATGAAAAGCAGGAGAGTCTTTGAGATAAATCCTAACCACCCAATCATCAGGACATTAAACGTGAGTTGGTTTGGTGGAATTATGAATATTCTATGTCAATGTGCCTTTTCAACCTTTTGAATTCTGTTTGTTTCTCAACTTCAAATTTACAGGAGGCTTCAAAGAATAGCCCAAGTGACGAAGAAGCCCTGCAAGCAATTGATCTTTTATATGACGCAGCTTTGGTTTCTAGTGGTTTCACTGTGAGTAAATAGTGTTACACCTTTATTTTACTTGCATTTACAATTTTTTGATATTGTTTACAGACATCAATATTCATGAATTTATCTATGCGGAGTGAGGTAGTTTGAAGTGTGTAGATGAGATCGCATCACATACAATTGATATATTTTTGGAAAACAGCTTTGAAAAAGAACTTTGGAAAAAGACTACTCACCCTGCTATACCTTACCCATTACGTACACAGTTTTTGTGTTCATTGCATTTTCTATTGCTGATCTGCTTAATGCCATACAGCCTGATGATCCAGCTGAGCTAGGAGGTAAGATCTATGGCATGATGAGCATGGCTCTGTCAGGAAAGTGGGGAGCTTCAGATGGATTTTCACAACCCACAGCAGCGCCCACCCAAACACATATCCCTGAAACAGTGGAGGCTGAGGTGGTGGAGCCTGTCGAAGCTGGTGTGCATAAGTAATGAACCGCACTGAGTACGTGGAAACCTTCAATGCTTTTTTAGTAGCTTTTTGAAGTTGAGCAGCACAGATGGATGGATTGGAGTAACTTTAAGCTTTTTTTAAAATATGTTCTACTTAGTCGTATTCCCCATTAATTATTTGGTATTTAGAAGGGCTATGTTATAATGATTAACCTTCGAATGTAGCAACGATAAGTTGGAACTTGAAAGTGCCCCTCTAATGGAAAAGAAATTATTAGCGTATTGAAGTCTGATAGCAAAATTTTGTTAAATTTATGGAAGCAATGAATAAACCTTGAGCTATGTCACAAAGCGTATACACCCAACTGCCCAACATTATGCGGGAATAACTATGCAAAAACACTACAACGCCTCATTTCTTTATTCCTCTCTCCCTCGGTCCCATTGGATTTTGCCAACTTTTTTTTTTGGTTGTCCCAAAAAACTTTACTACTTTCCTATTAAAGCAACTAATTTGTGGTTTTGCACTAGGGCTGGACTCGGGCCGGTTTGGGCCCGGGCCGACCGGCGGTTCTGGAATGGGGGGCCGGAACCGGCCTGGGTAATCCCCGGTTCTGGTTTGGGCCGGGCCGGCCTCGGGCCATTGTTAATTCCCCCCCCCCTTTTCCCTAGTTAACCCCCCCCCCCCCAATCACCCCCAAACCACCCCAAAAGGCCCAAAATACCCAGCCAAACCCGAAAAGTAAAAAAAATTGAAAAAAAAAAAATTAAAAGGCTCGGAACCGGGTCCGAACCGCCGGGCCGGTTCATGATTTGGGGGCCCCGGACCCCATGCGGGTCGGGCCTACCCGGGCCGGTCACTGACCGGGCTGGAACAGTGCCGGTTCGGGTCGGTTCCGGGTCGGGCAACCCGGGCCGAGTACAGACCTATTCTGCACATTTCTCTCTTCTCTGCACATTTCTCTCTTCTCTGCACAAATCTCAACAACACAGTTTTCATTATTCTTATTTCTCATCTACTTTGCACTTGACAAGGTCCACCAGGACTTTGCCACCAGGTAGTATAACAATCATAGAGTAGCGAATTTTGCAAATTTGACAAGTACCGTTGTTGAGATCCATTTCCTTACAAAGTTGCTTTGACGTGCACAATGGCTTGCATTTTGTCAGTTACAGACAATTGGGCACACTAATATTTGAATGGAATTGCTTGGGGGCATAAATAAGAGTTGTTTATACACAAATAAGTTTTGATTGTGTCCATAGGAGCTTTTAACATTAAAAGTCCTTTGATTATTGTGCGAGTGACACTTTTAGTCGTAGACTTCAAAATTGCTCACATTTAGTTCTAGTATTGTTGAATTGATATTTTAAGTTCTTCCACTATGATTTTGGCACAATATGTGGAGGATTAAAAATGCCATTATGATAATATTTGAATGACCGAAAGTGCCTTTCGCATAATGATCGAAAAATTAAAATGAAAAAATTCAAGGTAGAGTATAAAAAATGTCAGATGCCAAAAAGAGGCAAAAGCTCATGTCCATAAATATTACTACCTTCGTCCCATTTATATTGTCTCTTTACGGTTTACGATGTTTGACCGACAATAAAACAAACAGATCCATGTCCGCACTCAAATTATTTCTAGGGAAAAAATTACATATTCAAAAACTACATTTAAAGCTTTACAAAGTCGCAAAAACTTGAATCAAATTTGATAAATTTTTTGTATATAATGTAAGCAATTAAGAGTGATTTGTGTTGACCAAGTAAATAGGAACCGAGACAATATAAATGGGACGGAGGGAGTAGTTTTTGTGCCAACAATGTTGGCGTGAAAATTAGTGTCCGTGTGCAAAGTGTTTGTGTAAGAATAATGTGGAGTAATTGTTTATACATTGACAACTTGTATCCAAATTATGGATTGTCATATAGATCTTAATACACAGACAATAGATGTGATCAGTTCAATTGCCAGTGCTTAAATGAATTTTATCACAAAGCACACAAATAATAATCGTCTTTGTGATCAATTTTAGTTATGTGCATGACAATTTTTTAAGGGGGAATTTGACTTTGCACCCATTTTACTTCAAAATTCTTTGACTTTGCACCCCATTTAGAAATTTCTCTTCACAAATGTTAGGGTGCAAAGTCAAAGGTTTTTTAAAATGGAGTGCAAAGTTCAATATCAACCAAAAAGTGAGATGCAAAGTCAAATTCTCCCATTTTTAATTGTTTGTCAACAAAATATGTAATTATCTATAGGCGTGTAAATAAATGGAATGGAGTTTGATGAAGCGCAAAACACAATATTATGTACTACGTATGTAGTGTAAATAAATGGAATGGAGTTTGTTGTCAATTCCAAATTTGAAAGTGAATTTTTCCATACATCAAAAATCAGAATGAAAGTGAGTTGTTGTATGGATATGTATATCAAATAGAAAAAATGGAAACTAATAGTCCAACCTTTTAGCACTCTTCCTATAATAGTCCTATCTTTTTGTTATTCAAGAATAATCCAATGGATTCCAACCTTGGTACCTCATCTTCATTCGCTGGTCCCTGACCGGTTAATGACCTGCTATTCCAAGTTATTTTTTATCTTTGGAAAATATTATCTTTGTAAAGGGTGAAATTTATGACATAATGGTTTGCGAAGATAAGAAAATAACTTGGAATAGCAGGTCATGAGCCGGTCAGGGACCAGTGAATGAAGATGAGATGCAAATGTTAGATTATTCATGAATAACGAAAAGATGTGACTATTGTAAGAAGACCGTTAAAAGATTGTATTATTAATTTCCATTTTCCCTATCAAATCGGGAGTTGCAAATTTGGCACGCGGTCATAGAGAGGCACAAACAGAAAATTTATAGGACGTACAATAGGATTTTCTGCTGTGTCAAGGAGCACAACGTGGGCTACCATTGGAAACCAATGGTCCTAGATCATGCATACACAACTCTTATCAGATTGACAAAACGAGCGTAAGATTTGATTGGATGGATCATTTACACAGCACCCATGCTGTGCTCCTGCACAGCCGAAGAAGAACCTGATCCCTTAAATAAGTCTCAACTAATCACACATGTTACAACATTGGCCAAAACTAGTTCATAAATCTAAAATAAATTTACTATGACATTGACCGTCCGATCTATATAATGTCTCAACATTTCTTCATTCCCTGTCCTCAATCTGTACAATTTGAATCACACTTCTCTCCGATTGTTTGAGGGAACTTTCCATTTAAGATTTCTACCAAACTCATCTTCTGAGTTTGTTCTGGTTCACAGCCCCGTTTTCATTTCGAATGTCCCATGAATTAGAGTAACCAAGCGGCGGTTCATTAAGGTTTTGCCCAAAACCAGGAGGTCTGTTAAGGGTATGCCCAAAACCAGGAGGTTCAGTAAGGGTATGCCCAAAACCAGGAGGTTCGAAAAGGGTTTGCCCGAAACCGGAATGTTTACTATGGTTTTGCAAGAAACTGGGCAGTTCAGGGAGGTTTTGCAAGAAATCGGCAGGTTCACTAAGGTTTAGCGTGAAGCCAGGGGGTTCAGTAAGGTTTAGTGGGAAACCCGGTGGTTCAGTAAGGTTTAGTGGGAAACCGGGCGGTTCAGTAAGGTTTAGTGGGAAACCGGGCGGTTCAGTGAGGTTAAGTGGGAAACCGGGCGGTTCAGTGAGGTTTAGCGGGAAACCGGGCGGTTCAGTAAGGTTTAGTGGGAAACTGGGCGGTTCCGCAAGGTTTAGTGGGAAACCAGGCGGTTCAGTATGAATTTGCGGGAACCCAGGCGGTTCAGTATGAATTTGCGGGAACCCAGGCGGTTCAGTATGAATTTGCGGGAAACCAGGCGGTACAGTACAGTTTTGTGGGAAACCAGGTGGCTCAGAATGATTTTGGGGGAAGCCCGGCGGTTCATTAAGGTTGTGGTTATCAGTTTGAACCTGCTGAACTTCACTAACAGATTCATGAGACAGACCTGAAAGAGCTGAGCTTTCTGGCTGCCCCCCAGTCTTCCCTTCTGTCCCTACATTATTGTTTCTTGAAGAGCTTTCTGGTTGACCTCCTTTAGCCTCCTCTACCCCTCCTTGGAGTAGCTCCTCTGGGGTTGCAGCAGGATCAAGATCCCAGCAGCGTCCGTCTGGTAGGTTATTATGGTTTTTTTCCAGTACACAAGAAGGAACCATATGTGAAAACCGCAACATCTCTTTTCTAGGGATCCAGCGAATTGACTCCTTATCCGGGCTCTGTCTATATACTGTCTTGAATCCGTCTAGTTTGATTAATGGTCCCACACGCACCCCAAGTTCTTCAGAATAATCATCAAGAACCTCGACCATCTCATACTGGTGCCTTACTTCATCTGGAGTGGATCTGTTCCAATCCAATGACCAGTTCCTATAGACGGCCCAAATATCTCCACTTCTAGGGAAGATTCTAATACAACCACCCCTGCCTGCTTTCTCCCTACTCAGAAGATGAGAAAAAATGTTGATCTGGTCAACTATTTCTGAGTTATATGCCCTGAAATGCCCACAGGATTTCGTGAAGCCAGAGCACAACCAATTTACTGACCCGAACTCGGTATCCGATTTGGCGCCCAAGTAGCTGACATGGATCTTGAACGGATTCAAGTTGATGACTTCTCGAACCAGACAGTATAAGCGGGGCATACCATCTTCCTCGTCATATAAGGCCCATATTTGTTTTGGCTTAAAGGATTCCTCTGCTCTATCTTTATCAAAATCATGGAAGTCAGAATCTGGCACTGTTATTGCCAGGGCCGCACTTGCCTTTGGTTCTGATGGATGCTTCTCCATGTCTCCCGAACCCACTCTTTTATGGATCACAGAAAGTTCTTTTTTCTTCTTATCCAACTCTGCAGAAGCCAAGTTCATTTCTTCCAGTTTACTACGGATTACAGTTCTTGCCTTGTCGATCAATAACTTTCTAGAATCAAAAGAAGGAAAATAGGAACACCGCTTAGAAGGGGTGTCATTTGCAGTTTGAAGCTTAGAAATTTGTTTCAGATTCCCATTTTCATTAGCCACTTTCACTTCTTCAGCAGTATTATTTCCACTAGTACTTCCAATTTCAACTTTCGTCTTCTTAGGGGGCCTTCCCATTTTTTTTACGGGCTTTTCAGGGTAAACGGTAAATCCAGTGGCAGCCTTTTCCATTTTCTTTTTCCCCATAGTGCCATTTACTTGTGCACTTTGGGTAAAAGATATATTTGGAGCATACTCTAAACCATGTCTGGAATGGTGTCCAGAGACACCATTATGTTGGGCCCCATATCCGTGTGTTCCATACACATTCTCAGGGACGTAAGACCACGAGGAATATTGGTAGGATCCATTCACTGGGGCCAATCCAGTCTCAACAGCATTGAAAACGCCACGGCAGTTCTTGCAAGAAAGTCTCTTGTTCACATATTTTCTGAGATACTCATACTGCACGTGACAAGAGGTACACACTGTCCAGAAGGTTTCAAGCCTGTTGCGGGGCATGGATGAAGAATTAGAGTAGTTTATGGATTTCCCGGAAGTGTGGTGAGAGAAAGAATTTCTCCTACAGTCATAAGAGTTTCTTTTAGCAACATCAGAGAGAACTGCCCATGCTTGAGAAACAAGTTTGAATGCGCCGTCAGCTCCAATAGTTTTGTTTTTGTCAGGGTGAAGTAAAGCGGACATCTTTTTGTATTGCTTTTTAACTTTAGCCTTCTCCGCAGATGGATCCAAACCCAAAACTGCATACAAGTCAATCTCTCCATTAATTCTGATCTGGGAAGCAGAATGGATTCCATATGTCAAAACCATTTGGGCTATTCCTTCCAAACCAGGACATATAGTTTCTGCTTTGAGAGCAGACATCTTTGCTCCCACAAAGTCATTCTCCAAAAATCTCCTCTCAGCTTCTGCCTTAGCTCTAAGCGCTTCCTCTATGTTTGACCCCATTACAGATAGATCTTTAGCTTCAATTGGGCCAGCCAAATGAAAATTACAAGAGTTCTACTTTAGCAACCATGCTGAATCTTCTGCAAATGAGCATATGTTACATAGAATTAATTTGAAAGTTTCAAACTTTATTTGTTCTGATCAACTTACAAACAACAACAAGCCTTAATCACCATTTAGAGGACACAAATCCACTTTACTGATGTATCTAGCCTTAAGAAATGAATTTGGAGCATTATTCATTGCTATAGCATTTCCAAAATACAGCATTTTTATAAGAACTCAGAACAACTAAGCTTGACAGGAAAATCAAAAGCTATGAAAGCTAAACTTACGTCTACATTAAAAAACACTGGTCACAAACACACTGAAAAGTGTAAGATCTTCAAACTCAAGTCAAAGATATTCCACATTTCAGTCAATTTAACTCAATAATACTCAGATGAACCGACGCATTCAATATATGAAGCAGACAGTCCAGTTTGTCAGAAATTAGGAAAAATATTCGCATCTAACTAAGATCCAGCTTAACCTCAACACCAAAAGCAGAATTATATACTCCAGAGTAATAAAACTCCACCCCCAACAAATCGACTGAGCTAGAAACTACTCACTACAAAAAGTAACCAATTACCGATGTGAATCAGACCAGAACCTGATCATCAGCATAGGCTTCATTAGATCCCCTACCCTGCAGCTGCTATCTGGATCTTGGCTATGTACACCAAACAGTTCGGGTTAGGTCCGAAACCCATAACGGCTTACAGAAATGATTAGAATTTTGAAAAAAGGATGATAAATTAGAAGAGTCCAAGAAAAGTACCCGTGCAAAAGTGCAAAACAGAGAATGTAGAAAGCCTAGAAATACGGCTCCGGCCGCTGACGTCGGCGGACTGCGAGAAACCCGGCCGGGAACGCCGATTGGTAAAGTTTTGGACAAGATTTCTACAATTACTCAAACTAACAGGAAAAAGTAGATTGTTTGCTCTAAAAATAATAATACTCCGTAATATGGAGTAATAAATACTACCACCCTCTGTCGAAAAAAGTCCCATTGTGTGATTACAAATTTACATTTTGTGCCACAAATAATAATTATAATATTGAATCACATTATTCTTTTTCTAAAAAGAAAGAACTCTTATTTTTAAAAACTCACAAACAATTTAAAAAAAAAAAGACAAACAAACGCACAAACAACGAAAAGATAACTTTTCCATGGAGTCCTAAAAATTGATTGGAAAAAATATATAGAGTATATAAGTGAATAATATATTCTTCCAAAAATAAAAGTGAATAATACGGAGTATATTGAACCAATAGAAGGAAATAAATTGAAATAACGATTACTGTTTAGTTAAATAAAATTGTTGCCAATATATGCCATCTTTAATTTACTGATGTAATAATGTATTAGAGCAAAAAATAATTATTTAGGCATATTTGTCTATAAATTATGTGTTAGTGATTTAAAAAAAACTGGATAAAATAGCACTATAAAAAACGGAAATAAAATGATAATTATGGAATTCAAGTTAGTACGGTTAGGAAGTAGGAAGCATACCAATATGTGATCAGAACAATCGAAACTTTGACTTCACAGCACATGATTTACCTAATTTTTTTTTATTTTTCTGTAGATGATTTGTATTCCTTTTTAATGCATCTCAAAGTGAACAACTTTCCTCTTAAATTTTGTAGTATCCTATACTTTACTTCAATATTTGACTTTGTGCATTTTTGAGGGTGTATAAATACTCACAAATATGATTTCAGCTACATAATTATATTTTCTTTAACTAAACATGTCCAAATCTCTTACATTGAATTGAGTAATAGATGAAGAAATCATTCTATTTATTTCGCATGAGAAAAATATATCTAAAAAATAAAAGAAGTAATTTTGTAAAATATAAAAACTTTTACTATTAGTTAATTGAACGTTAAGGCCTATGGGACCTCAAGTATAGTACGTTTATAAAATGAACTACGTATTATCAAATGAAAGTTGGGCCCAAATTTCAATTGCAAGGATCCATATTATATCCGTCTTGATGAGGCCCAACAACTATCTTGAATAGTCAATACGTTTTGAAATGGGTCCATTAGCATTTAAAAGAGGCTCAATAATATCAAGAACAGTAAGATAGTGTTTTGAAAAAGAACAATAACATGGTGGAATATCATTAAATGGTAGAGAAGTCCAAAATATTAGTTAATTTTTTTTATATCCTCAATATATGGGCAAAATTAAACTCTACCAATTCGTGAGTTCATAACTACTTTTGTAGTTACAATATGATTTTGTCACATGTTAACTTTAGGACAATGAGTTGGAGTTAGATGATAATATCTAAATTATAGGTTATTGTCTTAATCAAAGGCTAACGTTTATGGCTGATTTTTGAAGCGCTGAATTTGAATGCTAGCTGAACACATTAGACATTTAGACCAATTGCAATTTGACTAATGAACTAAAATGTCACAGGATAATATGAAATTAACTTAAAGAGCATATGATTTATTAATAGAATAAAATATTTATTTAAGAGCATGAACTCACGTTATTCACTAATGAGATACATCTGCCGAACTATTCTCTTAATGAACTAAGACCTCTTCGGTTTATTATTCGACAAAACATATATTGGCATATTGCATTTGTGTATTTAACCAATAACAATATGATGTCTCCGGATTTTTTCGATGGACAAAACCAAATTCTGTATTTGATGTTTTGCTTTATATAATTTGAAGAGAAACATACATTGCAAAGCTGCTCACATGGCCTTAGCCCTTAAGTATCATGGTCTCTTGAACGATGTTCTCAAAAAAAACAAGGATGACACCCCATCCCTGAGGCCCCCCAACACTGACCGGACGGCACGATGAGAAGATGTAAATTTGACTATAATCACCATCTGACAGATAGAGAATGGGACTCCGTCCCCGCCACTTGCAGAGGCCCTATGCATTTTTAGCATAGTAACCTCTCATCGCAGTTGCCGGGATTCGAACCCGAGACCTAACCCTTGTGGCATTCCCTCACTACCAGTTGAGCTACGCCCACCGGTTCTTGAACGATGTTCTCAAATCTATTTGAGGAAGCCTTGATGTTTCCTTTTTCAAAATCCTCAATAATCAACATACTATACCCTATTGGATCTCTTATTTTGGAGGGGTTCATGTGAACACCCAAAAATAAAAAACAATGGGAATATATATCTGAATTAGAGTAATAATTTAATTATTAGTATTTTAAGGAAAAAATTGTAATTTTGAAGTAAATATTAGGTCCGCCATCGACTATACTTGATATTTCCTCCATCCTATTATACATATATTCCCCGATGTATTACAAAATTCATCCTCATCTTCTATTATACAAAGCCAAAATGAAAACTGTACAGTGTTCCCGCCCAAACACTGTACAGTGACGGGCCGGGTCAGTTGAACGCGGGTTCAGAGACGGGTCATGGAGCAACTTTGCTTTTCTGTCTTCTACGGGTCAGGTCGGGTCTTCAAAGCATGCCAGCTGATCTGTCTTCTATGGTCAATTATTGTTGGCTGTTATGACTTTTTTTGTGGCTCAATAAAGATCTGTCACAGGTACAAGGCTCCATAAAAACAATAAACAATGTGTAATTCGAAGTGGGAAACTGAGATGTTGGCCGCGTACTGGAGCAGATTAGAAGCAATAAATGCAAGGCACAGGGCTCCATACACAGCATTAATTGGAGCATCAAATGGATTGTACTTAAGATACTTTAATATACAAAATAATTGTGAGGCTGAGAAAACGTTTAATGCATACAACAACATCCTAAAATCCATTGGTTAAAACACAACAGTTATAAGATCTTCAAGAGCTATAAATACCACTTCACTTGGCAGTTGAACACCACAACCCATCCAAACTACTTGGCAAATTAGCAATTCCAAATCTCCGATCAGGTATCACCTTATAACGAAATACACAACTGCAGTTTATCTAACATTGTATATATATTTACAGGGAAGGTCAAATTATGCTTCAGTGAAAAGTCCCCATGTTGGTAAGTAAATGTCAAAAATAAAAGAGCAGGTAACATATGAGGGTGTGTGTAGGAGTATGTTTTTGCTAAAAAGTTATGCATTTTTGCAGTTTTAAGGTTTTTTAGTTTAAAAAATATACAAGTTTTTTTTATCATAAACAAGAGTTTATCATAAACAATAATATATACTATCGTACACTATTGTGGACAAAGGGGTTCTTAACCATGTATGCTCAATGCTCTTTGAGGGGATCATTTTTCCAATACAGAAAGGTAAGAAATAACAACAATCATAAGAACTTGAAATACAGAACACTATAATGGAAATGGGGAATGTTTTGAGCTACAAAAATGGAATGGGCACTATTTGAGCTCAAATTATATGAGGAAGCTGAAAAGTTTGAAGGCTGATTGAAAAATGAAACAGAAATGATAATGCAAATCATGTAGAAGTAAGCTTTTAAAAATGTATTATAGCTCATTCTAAACTTGAGGAGGTTGACAAAACCACTTAAATGAAGGTGTGATGAAGTGTTTCTGTTGGGAAACTAGAGGCCCTACGATCAAGTGCTAGAAACACAAGCAATTACTTATTGGGCATTACAAACAACGGTAGTTCATTAAAACATTGTTCAAAACAGTTCGTATAAGAACAGTTTGTGAAAAAAAAAACAGTATTCAGCCTCACCAAGAAGTACTAATAAACACAAACATTTTCAATACATTGTATTTAAATAAGAATTATAATCATAGGGGTTTTAAAAAAGAATGTCTTCAACTTGGAGTTTGGAATTGGGCACATAATGTCATTAAACAAACACGTTTTGTTTGAGTGGGTATATATGTGTGCAAGTGCAAATACAGTTCAAAATCTGCACTATATAGACTTAGATTTATACATACATAAATAGAATCCGTATATATATTAAACTACAGTTCAATATGGTTGAAATAATTTCATTTTTGTTGAAAATGTATATAGATATAAATCTGTATAAGTTGAAATACTAAAATAATTACATCATTTGTTTAAAACATAAATAAATTTATAAGAAGCTTCATTTGAATACTGTTTTGCCGTTTTTAAAATTTGGAAAACTTAGGTTTATAGAAGCTTGGTATCACCAACTAAAACTATTACATTCTGCACGAGTATATAGTATGTTTTACAAATATGCTTGATATATAATTTGTATTGCAGACATGAATAATAGTAAGGGTAAGGAGCAGTTTGTATTGTAGTAACATTGCACTAAGTACAGTATATAGTATTAATATAGTTTATATAAGACATGTTATATTATTATAAGTATAATTATATTACATGGGATTATATTCGTTAAGCATTCATTAAATACAGTATATAGTATATAAGGGGTAAGGAGGCAGTCACAGTATTCAAAGAAAAGATTATAGAATAATAGAATTATAGTATTATAGATATAGATTATACTGAGTAGAAATTATATAAATTTAAATAAATCAAAATAATATAAGATAATTATAGTATTTTGACCAGTTTAAAACATATTAAACATGACAGAATATAAAGGTACTACTCATGTTAACTTCAACATAACAAACTCATCAAACGGAGGGGAAAACCCAAAGATTTGTTTTATGTCTAAAGCCAATTTCATGTATGACAAATTATACAATAAATCTCAATATTTAGAGATAATAGTTCGTATTTGTCACTCCAAATAACAGATTTATTTTGCCGACACCTATTTTTAAAAAATCATGTTCATAGGTCACCAAACACAAATCTGATGTTTTGACAGATCTGGCCACCAAACGGTTAACCAACATGATTTTTCTATCCTCAAACAATAAACAAATCTACAGATTTAGAAATCTTTGTAAAAAAGTTTCAAAACAGTTGGTCAAAATCCTGATATCGATTATTGCATTTCATTCATACATTCCAAAAAAAAGTAGAGTTTGCTCAAACAAATTAAGATAGCACTCGGTCAAATGAACAACATTAAACTAGGAAAACAGTACACATTAACTTTTGATAGGCATAGAAAAGTTTGAGGAGAAAATTTAGAAAAGATAAAATACCAAACCACGACTGGGAGAGAGCCAGTATGCATTTCAAATTGGTCGGACGAGATGCTAAATCCACAAATGATAAGCGGCGCTCAACATCCGTCTATACACCCAACCGAACTTTTCATACAGCCGGCGAACCCGTAATGAAGAAAGACTAGACGAAGGAGTAGAGGGACTAGCTTATGTACGGAGTATGAACGGCGATGCAACTTCTGGAAACCATCGGTCTAAGGTGTAACCGATGAGTTCTCCAGAAAATGAGATGTACGGAAGCTGAAAGGGGGGGGGGGCTAGATATTTATTGTTTGGGTTAATTTGGGTTGATAGGTTGTTGGGTTGGGTAGCTTTAGGGATCAATATTTTAATTAATGGGGTTGTTGGATCATAAGTCATAACAGGCTGGAACGGGTCCAACTAAACCTATAAACTATTGGGCTTGATTCTTAGGCTGTTAAAATTTTCATTTTAGTAATATCCGAAAGTGTTTAATTTTTTGTTTTTTACGTAGTATTAGTCATTGTTTTCCTTTTTTAGTAATAATTCGTAATAGATTTTAAGATTGATTTTAAATAATTAAGAAGTGTATCCAATTTGAATTTATATATATATATATATATATATATATATATATTATTGGAATAACAAGTTTGTTTTTTAATTACAAATGCAACACAATTTATCAGTGTGAGTTCACTTCCTTTTATTAGGGCATTGTCTTTATCTAATTTAAGATGTGTATTGAATTTTGATTTATGTGTCAACCATTATCAATCGCAAAGGATGGAAAATATTGATCTGTGATGAGTAAGATCAACAGATCGATCATACTTCTAATGTTGTTTACAAAGAAGTTTTTCAAAATTTGTAGTTTCACTGTGAACACTTATTATTTTACTCACCGTCTTTGAACTTTCAAATGTTATATCTCTTTTGTAATATTTAGATTTTCCCTTCTTCACCGAAGTTTTAATCTCTTTAACAACGAACACTTATTATATTACTTACCGTTTTATTCTGAGTCCATTTTTTTGCGTTTTTATAATAGACTTCTTAATTACACATTAGTAAATTTTCATCCGTGCATCGCACGGGTGAGAATCTAGTAGACATAAAACCAGCTAGGCTTGATGAATATTCTAGGTGAAAGTGAATTTGGAGGAGTCTCTGAAAGATGTGAACAAGAAAGAGATTAGTAAAGAGGCAAATATGTCCAGGTCGGGAAAGAAGTGAAACGTTTAATAATTTAACGTTTGAATTCAGTTTTTTTTTAAAACTTAAGCTTCCACGAGCCTGAAAGCATCTCCAACGGTTACTAAACACGTTGTAGCTTTGCTTGCCACATCAGTTTTTTCTAGCTAATCCATTTTCCATCAATGTGGTAGTCCAATAATTAGCTACAATGCTTGCATCTTGAATAGGCCCCACAAATCAATCATTTTTGGAATATACATTTTGAATGAATTTTATTGTTAATATAATAAAAATAATATTTTTTTTGAAATACTTTCAAATCGATCAAGTTGACAAGCAATTGAGCAAACATAACCAAACTTCAGGAAGATTGATCAAGTTGGTCGTCAACCATGACTTTGACCAAACATTAACCCACCGCCCAACATTATTAAGCCGACAAGGGTGAATGCATATTATTAAAATTAGTAGAACAATATGTATTTTGTTAAGTATCAAAATAAGGAATAAAAAATTTGCTCAAAAAAATACATACCGAAACCACTTTGAACATTACCGCTGCACTGCTTTAATTAATGGTAATAAGATTGAAACCACTTTCAACATTACTGTTGCTGTTTTAATTAGATTAGTATATTAATTATCAATAAATTAAATATATTTGGGAGTTGCCATTTTAGTTCAATTTTCTCTCCTTTCTAGCATGTAGCTTGTTTTTTTCTAATTTGCTTGCACTCCAATAGTAGGCTACATGCTACTAGCTTGAGTATTTTAAAAAATTGCAAGCATGCATTTGAGAGGAACCATTGGAGATGCTCCAAATTCAAATAAGTCTAATGCAAAATTAATTGACTGAATTTTGCATTGGACTTATTTGAATTTTGCAAGGGTCTGGGGTTTAAACTCCTACTCCCTCAGTTAATTTTAACTTTGTCAACTTTCCTTTTTGGACGTCCCATTAATTTTACTATTTTTCCTTTTAAGTAAAGAATTAGTGTTTCCATTTAATTATCTCTCCTCTGCACAGACCTCAACCACACAATTTTTACATTATTAATATTCATGCCGATCAAACTTGACAAAGTTATTAGAGACAGAGGGACTATTAAAAATAGGAGAACCATATAGCGCTAGTAGACAAATACGGAGTACAATAACTGAATAAAGGGAATCTAACCAAGACTCGAAAGGGACAAACGAAGACAATATATAGGTCAATAGCTACTACATTGGGTTTACAAACATATAGTCCGTATCAAGTTAAATTAAGCAAGTAAAATGAGAGGTATAATCTTTTACGGAAATTTCAAAATAGGATTATCATGTTCTTTATTTTTTAAATAGGAGTAATCTGCCAAGTTTGGGAAAAAATATCATGTTTAAAACCTAGTAATAGCCTAGTAATGTCAAACTCCTACTTGGGAATCTCAATCTTGTAAACGGCAAGGACTAGAGTTAAGCTTCTTCTCATAAGAAAAGCTAAAAAACATTCTACATTATACGACGTAATTCATTATAGTTACATCTACGTAGTTCATAAGATTTTATAATATTTAATTGACCGAGTTCCAATTTGCTGAATCAATTGAAGTTGTTGAATTATGAAAAAATATCACAGGAAATTTTAAATATATTTTATAAATAAAATATAAAGAATTACTAAAACAATTGGGTTTTAATAAATTCAGCTAATTATTTTCATTATTACACTATTTAATGCGCCAAATAAATAGTTAGTTAGTTAATACCTTCATTCTTTTTTGAATAAATTCACCTTTTGATCTTACAATTGTCGCACCGATTTCATAATTGGTCTACGTCTTTGACTTTGACCATTTTTGTTACATGACTATTATGTTTTCTTCCATACATAGTTCTTTCTGCAATAATTTTGATGGTTAAAATCGCCGTGGAAGGACTACAAATGGTTAAAATACATTAATCAGATATCAAAGGTGGATAAAATGAAAGACATATGATCAAAAGTGGAATTAATTCTTCTTGTTTAGTTTTTTGGCCGTACTTTCTCTTTACTAATAGTCTTTGTTCCGTTATACGGAGTATGACAACAAGAGTTTCGAACTTGTGACATCCTCCTTGGGAGTCCTACAATGATGTTATCAAATCACAATGTGTTTGGCTTCTTTTTTAGTTGTAACAGTGTAAATCTTATACTATTCATATGAATCATATATATGTATTATAATTTTATTCTTTAAAAATGGTGTTAAATTTCTCTCATTTAAATTTTTAAAAATCTGACCTTTTTAATTTTTTTACTAATAAGAAATGAAATTTATTAGTGATGAAATTTGTCCGTAGAAAAACGAGAAAGTATTGATCTGATAAAATTTTGATTATAAGAGTGATAAATCGATAATATATACTGCCAAAAAGGCTCTGGGATATTTTTTTATGTAGAATAAATACTTCAAAATGAATACATTCTTTTCGATGTATCAAAAAATCACTAGCACTAATTACATAATGCATGCCTTTAAAAAAAAGATTACATAATGCATTACTTAATTATTATGGTGTAGATTTTAATTTGGACATGCATAATAATTCCTTTTTTCAAAGATGCTAAATAATTCCTTTAATCATTATTTTATGGTAACACATCATTTCAAGGAATTTAATGGAACAAATAATGCAGAGTTGAGATTTGAATCTCAAATTACTTTACGAAGGAGAAAACAAAAAACCGTAAGACAAAGTAAAAGAGTAACAGTAATACGACGCCGTGTTCCCACTGAAGAGTCACGTTACACATTGACCGCCTTGCGAAGGAAACAGAGGGACGACGACGGCGACGAAGCAGGCGAGCCACCGCCGTCTCCGCCGAGCCTCCCGCGACCTTCTACATCGCCGCCGAGCAGCATTCTCTCGAAATAATCCACGCAGAACAACGAAAGAGACAGCTGCACCTCGTGCCGGCTCACAACGCCGGAGTCCGAGTCGCCTAACCGCGACGACAGCCGCACGGGGCGGACGCAGGCCATGTAGAGGCTCCGGTACCCGCCGAGGGCGGCGACGACCGCCCTCACGCGATCGGGCGGGCGCGGCGCGTGACCGCGGAAGCAGAGGTTCTCCCAAATAGACTGGGTCCGAGAAACGGCGCACCAGAGCATGCAGACGCAGGCGGCCACGCCCAGGGATGGCGCGTCGAGCTTCTTCAAGATCTCTACAACAATGTCCACATTGTCGTTGATGCAAAACCTGCTTCTATTATCTTCCAATTCTTCTTCTCCTCCCTCTTCTACTTTATGTTGTTGCTCTTTAAGCTTAAAGTGAACCATTTTAATTGAGATGTTGGCGACTGGAATGTAAGATGGAAACGGATACAATTGAGTGACCGTGGAGGCGTGGATTATATACTATGGAGTATGGAGTATCGTATACAGAGCAATGAGCAATAATGTCTAAGATAGATGTTCATAGGAAAAACCTATGAACAATGATGTGTAAGATAGATATCAAATAGTTACTCGAACTTTCATAAAAATGTCAAATAAGTTCTTATATAGGTAGATATGTCCGTCCGTCGCGATTTGGGGCGGTTCCCGATGGAATTTTTTGATAAAATTTATTTAGCATCTCATTCATCAAGTCTAGTTAATGCACAGTGATCTTCAAGAATTAATTTGAATGCGTTCCTGATTGAAGTTTTAGATGAAATTTGGTATAAGTAAACTAGACTTGGTGAATAAGATTCTCAAAAAAATTCATCAAAAAATTCCACCGGGAACCGCCCCAAATCGCGACGGCCAGACAAAGCCTCTTATAGAAGGACTTATTTGACCTTTTTTATGAAAGTTCGAGGATCTATTTGACAGTTTTCCCATGTTCATACTAACTTCCTAATTGTGAAATAAAAAAACAACCAGGCTTGAGGTACACATTTTTGTACATGCACTTACACACTTGTGTCTGTGAAGTGTTTTGTTTTGTTTGTATACAGACACAACTTATTTCACAGACATTTCAAATGTGTTGTGTCTGTATACAGACAAAAAAAACACTTCACAAACACGAGTGTGTACGTGTGTGCACAAAAAATGTGTAACAATAGTTTTTTCCAATAAAAAAATGTTTAAGGTACACAAAATGTATACATTTGTGCGTACACCCTCTAGTTGCATATGTACACAATTCGATAAGAAAGAGACAACATTTGTATTTCAATTGCATGTGTACACAAACAGGGTACAAAAAGTGTACACTTTTTGTGTTCACCAAGCATAGCTCTCTGAAATCTAAGGGAGAAAATTAGGTACGATATCAAAACGTTTGGATAGTTCAAAGGATGGGCTAGGGATGTTTTGTTTTGAACTGAAATGTGCTGGCCTGATCTGGTCAGGTCTAGTTTGTTTAAATCTGGTCTGATCTGAATTGGTCTAGTTTGATCTGTTAAATGTATGGTCTATGTGTATTTTATATTTGTTCTAGTTTAGTCTAGTATGGTCTATTTAAGAAGGGAATTTTTCACAGGTGTGTGCTTCCAAGGCAAAGTAATATCACTATTTTCAACTTTCAACATTTCTTTCAAAAGTAGATTAGTCACGCGTTTTTTTTCAAAAATAGTCTCCTGAAATCCAATCCGCAAGAACGTGTATTCATCAAGCCGCTACTCCTTTGCATATACGTGTCCAACAAAATCTTAATTTGTGACTTAAATTAAAAACAAAATCAATTTTAAAAATAAAATCAGAAAAGTTAAACAACGTTTAGAAACTTTACAAATACAAAACTCAAAACGCAAAGGTTTAACTTTTTAAAATGTGGGAAAAAGTTTTAATTTAAAAAGCAAAACAAATGTTTTTGTAATGAATTTTCTAAATTAATTAATATAATTTAATAAAAATATAACAATATTAAATATATATATATAAAACTGAATTCTATAAAACCTAAAATGGTTTTTTGGGATTGAAAAAATAAAAAATAGTAAAAAATATATATAACCAAATCCGAAAATTATAGACCAAATATAAAAAATGATATAAAAATTGTTTTGAACTTTCATAAATATGAAAGAAATAGATTTTTTTATGAAATATTAAATTTTAGAAAAACGGAATGAACACAGGCGAAAATATAAATATTAATAAAAATGAATTTGAGATTGTTCAATAAAATCATTTTAATGTTTATAAAATACAATAAAAGATACTTTTTTGAAACCAGAAAAATTTATTAAGTAAGAAATCATGTAAAATATTAAAAAACGCGAGAAAAAATGTAAAAAATGAAAATAAGAAACTAAAAATAAAAAATGGAAAAATAGAAACTAATATTCTTCAAATTCTTAAAAAGTCAGAAAACTAAAGTAAACAAAGAGCGTGCAAAATATTAAAAATCCAAAATAAAAATGTGAAAAGAAGAAATGGAACTATAAAGTGTAAAAATTGATAAAAAAATTTAAAACTTAGGTAGAAATTTTTTATTTAATTTTTTAAAACAATTAATTATTATTGTAATCACTTATTGTTAGTTTTTGTTGCATACGATTTCTTTGTGTTTCTTTTTGTTGATAATTTTGAAATTTTTGTTTTTTATTGTTTCTTCATGTTTCTTGTTATTAGGAGTAATATTCATAACTCCAAATGTATCATTTTAGTATACATTGTTAGATTGTGCTGAAGTAGCTAAATTAAATAGAAAATTTGAAAAGAAACACCACACAACAAAATGCAACAGTTTCAAGAAATTGCAACAATATACAACAAAACGCAACAACATACAACAAAAAGAAACAACATGCAACAAAAAGAAACAAAGTAAATAAATTCAACATGCACAAGTTTCTCATGATAAATACATAATTCAATTTACAATCAAAATCATCATTACAATTTCTTCCTCCACTTGCAAACTTTTCCTCTGCCAAGTTGTAGTATTTTGTCAATCACAAAAACACATCTTCAACCGGAGAATCGACCAACTCGACCTTTGTGATCAGATTAAGGAATATACCTCTTGTGCTATAATTAATCACAAACTGAGCATGAACATTGAGTATATACCAATATTAAATAAATCCAATGGAAGCACAAAACAATGAGGGAACAAAAAGGAGAGGCTAAACAATTACAACTTACAAGTGATAATTTATACTAAATTAATAATTTTATTTAACTTTCTTCTAACTCTATTTTGGCACATGAATACGAACTTCTTTTTCCTGAGATATAACTCTAATAAAGAGCTATATTTTTAAAAAGAGGCTAAATTAAAATAGGGACCCATTAAAATACCAGTCCAGAACAATGTTAAGGCATGCAAAATGAATGCAGTGTTAACAATTTCCACTTAATACAAAGAAAGTATTGATTGAACAGTTAATTTTTCATCAATCCTTCTCTTTATTTTAACAAAAACAACAGAAAACTAGCAATATTCCCTATTCTTCTCCAACGTCACTACTACTAGCCCTTTTGATTTATATGGATGGATTTACAGGATGTAAAAGAGACAACACTTCAAGGATTTTTTTTAGAAAGAGAGTGAGAAAGCAGTATTTATTTGCAGTCTAATACTATAATTTTATCTTAGCATTACTCTAGAACTATACAGATAAATTTTGCAGAACCTACATTCAGTAAACTTCATAGACTTATTTAGCTAGTTAGCTTATAGGTCCAAAATGTTAAAGTGATCCCTAAAATACACATTTTTTGCTTAGAGAACAACATAGAAGCTCAACAATACTGGTCTAAACACATGAACATCAAACGTGGTGAAGAAAGTCATGACAAATGCCACCTAAATCAACAGAGTTAACAAATTCCACCCCTAAAGGCTTGTTTTGACAAAACATAACCATAGAAATTATATACGATAACAAAAAATAAAAAACCACACGTATCTAGAATTTAGGATGAAGAATACCAGAACTTGAATTCTGAGAGGCGGAGAATGAAGCTCTGTGTCAACCAAGAGGCGACAGAAAACCAATCAGCAAATTGAGAAGGTAGATTTCTAAATCAATTGAGGGAAAGCTCTCGCCTCGATGGTGGAGGTAGATCCTTACTCGGATCTGCAACGGAAAGTTCAAATAGGCAACCTGGGCAACGACGATTATGCTCAGCTCGATCTGCAAATTCATCCCCTGTCCACTGTGCTCTCCATCGAGAAAACTCTCTCATCTGTGTCGGAAAACCTTGGAGACCGTCATATTGATAATCTTACTGCCTGACGACGTCGAGATAAGGAATCTGAACATAACCTAATCGGCGATGCCCAATTTCGACCATGAAATCCTCATTCGATTGCTCTGGAAGCCTTGCAACGACGGGAAATATGACCTTGCTTCTTTTCGTTATATTTCTCTATGTACGGAGGAGATCTGCAAACACAGTCTAAAATTGAAATAAAAAAACATAATTGAAAATAGAAAAGATTAAAATGAAAAGAAGAAATAAGTGAGACATAAATGATATGTGGAGTATAAAAGGTGACCATACGGGTAATTTCCACATTTAAGAATGGTTTGGTTTGTCTATATAAGTTCAATCTGATCTGATCTAATTTTGTTTAGGATTGAAAATAGTCTAAAAGAAACCATCATAACGTTTTCATTTGATCAAACTCTCTATTGATGTTACGGGAATTAAATTTGAGATGTCAACCCAACTGATTCATTCGGTCACTTTTGAGCGACCTATATGCATAAGGTTGTAAATAACCAAATTGAACAGAATACTCCATATTATATTCTTATTCGTATAAATTACGGAACATCTACATTTGTATTTGTAAACCAATCGATTGTTATTCTATATTCACATTCGCTTTGTTTCTCGTATTCGAATATATTCAAATCTTATTCAAATATTCAAATATTGCATAGACTGATTGTTATTTCATAACAAAGAAGTGCATGTGATTTAGTAAACATTTTGCTTTATCTCATCATAAGATGAATGAGAACCTTTATTCGGGACAAAGGGGGGTACGATCACTAAAAAACAAATTGGCACGAATTTTTGGCAAGATCATCAAATTTGTGCTAATTACACTTTGTCTCGAGCTATTTGGCACAATCTTGTCGATCAACGCGTGTCACATTCGTGACAATTCTATTTTTATAGTGTGTGTCACATACAATTGCATTAATTATACGCTTGAGCTCCGCAATTCTTTATAGTATTGTAAATTGTTACAATTACAGTACTATACATATGATTGGTTAATTTTATTATTTTACAGGGTATCATTTATTTATGTTTCAACTAAATAATTGTAATTATATAATTGATTACTCTGAAAAGAATGGCAGAAATATTACTTGTAGAATTTGATGAACAAAAATTTGACATTTCATATCAGGGAAAAAGTGACCATTTTCTTTAAACCCGGAAGGCAACCCAAAAACG